AATCTTGTGAAAGGCCTTGAAACATCCTTCTGACATGATAAGGCACTCTGTCAAATGTAAGGATTATTATTATTAAATGGAATAGTCTGGAATGGCATTTTTATCTAGTGTGACTTTGGACAAATTTCTTCCCATCTTATTTAATGCGATGTTGAAAGCCTAAATAAATCACAGAATTATGACTTACCAAGTTAAAATCTGTTGTTTGTGAAATGTTAGTATTTGCCATAGTTTCTGAGTTTTACTACTAAAGAATAAACTGAAGAATAATCACTAACTGACCGAGATAACAAAAACATGGACAGATCGATCAAAACGTTTACCAACTTCTCTTCTAATGGAAGCAAGAAACAGTGATTAATGTTGATATCTTCCAAATAATTGGTAGCGTTTTGCCCACAAAATATACAGTCAATCCACTTTAGAGTATATTCCGTGAAGCACTTTCACTTGTCTCGAAGATGAAGGTGCAATATCAAATGCAAGGATTATTATTATTATTAGCATATTTAATATTTAATTAAATATTTAATTTGCACACTTACAAGATTGCGATTGTGCAAAATGCAACTCTTAAGATAATTTGCTACTTTAAGGCATCTTTGCTTTATATTTTTAGAGGAAAATCAATGCACGCATTGTGAATTAGCAATTAAATCCAGGGGAAAAGCAACAGGTATCCAGTTAGTTTGTAGTTTTCATTTGATGAAATAAGAAAACTAGTTGATGGACTTGTGATGAGATGACCATTTTCCCAGCCTTGAAGTGTCACTTGGGGAAAAGTGTAAATGATGGAATGAGAATCTAATGTTCCTTTGTTAGTCATAACTTCAGTCTCAGTAAACCACTGAGGTCTAAAAGAAGTCTTAAAAAAAAACTGCCAGACTAACGAATACACTTCTTGTAAGCAGTTCCGAGTTATCGTTTGACTAGCCATTGCAGATCTGTCCAACAGTAAATCTGAAGTCGCTGGGAACACTCAGCAGGTCAGGCAACATCTATCGAGAAAGGAAAGTGAGTAAACGTTTCGGGTCCACGACCCTTCGTAAGATTTCCGGCATCTGCAGTATTTTGCGTTTTACACAGTAAATCGGTTTAATTAGAGAAAAAGCTCCATTTTGAATAAAGAACGATTTGAGCGCAATTTATTACCGTTAGCATGTCTGCTAGGAACCAGTTTCAACAGGGTTTTAGTTTTAGGTTTACCCCGGGATTGAAGGGAATGAGAGTTGTTGAGCTTGGTTTCTCCATTGGGGTTTTCAGGAAAGTAGGCAAAATTGAGGAAGTGTTTTATTTCGTTCTTTCTCCTTGTATTGCTCAAACAGGAACAAGCTTTCTAGTGGGTCTGATGCAGCAGTGAGCACATCTCTAAAGGTCTTCATTGATATTTTATGACAAACCTTTTCCAGCAGAATCTGAGTGAATTTAGTGAGGGTCTTTTGAGGTGGTTGGGGGGGGTAGGTGAAGAGAGTTTTGTCCACTTAATGTCTTCACTGGAGAACTACAAGCAGCTGTCAAGATTGGGCTGGTGATGACACCATTTTAAACCTCAACCACTCGAGTACCACTATTTCAACCATGAGTAAGCATTATGGACCTTTCAAAGCTGTTCCAAAGCTTTTAAATAGCCTTAATGAACAGTTTTTTTTTGCTGATTCTCGTACCTGCAATTTAATTACATTTACTGCACGTCGTTCAGCTGCAGACGTATGCTGAGGCATTTGAAGCCAAGAATTTTATAAAGTACTGTATGAGGAAGTTAGATAATTTTTTGGACTGAATTTTTTAATTTTTCTTTAAATTCAGTAAGTTCCCCGCACTTTTCAGTGCATCACAATTGGTTCTTTGTCCCACACAACCCTGTTATTCACAATTCCTCTCAAACTGAATTACATTTTTGTTTGCTGCAACACAATGGTTCTCTGTTTTATATGCAGTTAAACCCTGTTCTTTACTGTCCTAAAAGAATAACTGGTTCTGATGACTGACCTTTTTCTCTAGTCAGTATTGAGTTGATATTAAGCCTATATAGCACAATTGACCAGGGCTGTAAATTCTGAGAGGAGAAATACCCAAGTTGTAATACCCAAGCTGATGGAGACCTTAAATTGGATTGAATTTCCCTTCTGCAGTTGGACAGATTGACATGTTTACTGATTATTGTGGTTGATATTTTGTAGGGAGAGACGAAAAAACTTTCTTTCTGGTAGTGGTGTGCAAAATGTAATTTGTTGGTCCGTGGAAGTTCTACTCTGGAGCTTTGAATATTTCAGTGTGTTTTGCACTGATTTCAGGAATTGGGTGCACCAAATGCATTAATCTGATCATTTCTGTTCCATCGTAAGTATGCTAGACTCTTCACGCGTATGCTAGTAGATCAAAATAATAAGTTGTCATAGTTGTGCAGTTCTGCTAGTTTGAGTTTATTCAATTTGGATCTCTGCCATGAATTAATGTCTTCTCATTTGACCTGTCATCAATGGCAGTTTTAGCTGGTTAGACTCCAGCAGTTACCCCAACTCGCACTCTGGGGTCCCCAAGCCTTGGCTCTTGCCATCCTGCGCGTATACTTTCCGGAATTAGGTAAGCAGGATGTGTCTCTCCAGGGAGAGAGATAGAGTGTGCATTCCAACAATCTTATCTCTCGGATTTCCTACCAACCGCCCGTTCCCTCTTCTCAGCCGACTCCGGCCTGCTCCATGTCCCCCGACCCACCCGCCCCACCATTGGTGGGAGAGCCTTCAGCCACTCTGCCCCCAATCTCTGGAATTCCATCCCCAATCACTCCGCCTCGCCCTCTCCTTATCCTCCTTCAAGCCCCGCCTCGAGACCCTCCTCTTCAACCATACCATCAGCCATCCCCTCCCCTCCCTTCTCTCCCCTGACCCCAGCTCGGGTCTGAACTGCTGTACACTGACCAGCGCCTTGGGACGTCCTCCCGACGTGAAAGGCGCTATACAAATGTAATCTTGTTGTTGTTGTTGTTCCATGTGTAGGTGGGATGCATTGAAATCTCAACTTGGTTTGGATCTTAAGCATGGTGATGGGCCACACACTTGTGTCAGACACCGGACTGACCCCCCAAAAAATCATTCGACCAGTCAGATTACTCCCCCACAAATTTCCATCTTCTGATGGGAATAAATTCATAGAGGATCAAAATCCACTCTTGGCTCGCGAATGGTTACTAATTCTCAGTGTAGACGTTTAAATTGAACAAATTGTGGGAGTCGATTTTTACAGAAATAAAAAAAACAAAGTACCATTACAGCTTCCTGATTGCCAGCAAGGAAAAGCAGAACAAAAGCATTTATTTTGAATGATGTGCGAGTTAGCATATACTGGACCATATCTTTGTGACCAGAATGAATAATCCAGTAAGATTTGTGGTGCAATAAGAGGCCTAAAATAAATAAACATGGTTATCCCTCACCATGTATATATGCTATATCAAAATGCAAGGATATCATTATTATTTTTATAAAATGATAATTTTGTCACTGAATCCACGACTGTTTGTGGGGCGCTGCTGTGCACAATTGGCTGATGTATTTCGCCCACAGTAACTACACTTCACAGTTTATTCTATGAAGAGCTTTGAGACGCCTCAACGATGTGATAAGGCCCAGTATCAAATAGAAGGATTATTATTATATGTTTATTTTCTGTTGTCTGACTTAAACATAAAATCTTCTTTATCATTCATTGTATCGTCATCTCACACAACCATTTCATCGAAATCTTATCTGAAAATAGCTAGATTAAAATGTTGTAACATCACCAGGCATATTTTTAGCATTGTAAACAGAAGTGGTTACCAAATCACCACAGGCAATGAGATAACTATTTCCATTTGCACCTTCTTTGGGTTAAAGTAATCCGAGTCTTGTGCATAGCAATTCATATCGCATCTCACTGCTGTTGCTATGATGACGTCTCCTACATGTTTGAAATGCAATTCTTAAATTAGTTTTTACGACCTTACAGTGTGGAGCGAGATATTTCTCATGTGGCCACAGTTCCTAGACTACTTGTGTGGGATAACAACAGTTTATGTGTACACAGCAGAGAGTTCAAACTCCATAGTAAATTTTTTTTATGGAAACAATTTATCATTTTAATAAATAATCTGTTTGGGAATTAACTGAGTATAGCTGTTATTTCCTGCAAGTTCTTAAAAGTACATATCTACTTATAATGTCTCTTACTGTTTGGCAATTTACTCGATGTATAAATATTCCACAGGATGTTTATTTTCCCATCATACCCAATGTAGGAAATAATTGTGAAACAATTTTAAATGATTGTCATTAGGGCAGAACTTATTCCACCACTAAGTCGGACAAACAAGAAGATTTGAGCACTGTTTTATTCAAACGTTTGAAAATCAGATCAATATTTGTGGACTTGATACCAAAGCGGCATGGCTTTGAAATCTGAGGATATTCAATTAAACAATGAATAATAATTAATAATGATAATCATTGCATTTGATGTTGCGCCTTATCATTTATTATTAACTATTGTTAACTTATTATTAACTTATTATTAATAGTTCAATTAGTTACATAGTAAAAACATCAACACTGATTGCTGCTATCGTGTTAGGGATAGGTATTGTTCTTTAGTTCACAGTAATAACAAAATTTTGATATTTAATGTGTACAGTGCATATAATTCTATACAACTTGTTGTGAATTCAGAGTAACCTCTATTTTTGATGGCTTTTCTGTTGTCCTTTCTTTCAGTATTGCACATTACTCCATTATTAATTTAACAAATGTTGTCTCACTACCTCTGAATAAACTTCATGTTCCCATCAGTTGAATCGCTGACAAATTCAATGCTTGTTTTCTACAGAAAACAGAAAACATTACTTCAAATATGCTAAGTAGTAGATATATAAATCGGGATTTTGCATGTGAATTGATCACTGAATGAAATGTATTTCTTTCCTGAGTTGTATAAATATATTGAACAGAACATATTATGTGTTTCAGACTTTGGGTTCAGTAACATCTTTACCCCAGGCCAACTACTCAAGACTTGGTGTGGGAGCCCACCTTATGCTGCCCCTGAGCTATTTGAAGGAAAAGAGTATGATGGGCCTAAAGTTGATATTTGGGTGAGTAGTATTGAAAACATTATATTTCTGCAGTTTAAATAGCATGGACTGACTTTCACTTTTTACATCAAAGTTCACTTTATTTCCACTTACTGTTTTGTCTGAACTAAGACTTGGCTGTAAGGTCATATCAGAAATTGTTGCCTTATTTATATTGTGATTGACAAGTACACAAAGTTTGGTTTGAGATCTTTATTAAGATATTCCGTGGTCAGTTATTAAATAATCGTGAGTTAGTATGGCAAGCTGCCTTTAGGCTTTAACTGTGATTTCATATAAAAATAGTCCAGCAAATAGGCATCTGCATGTGAAAATGACCAGCTTTTTTGATGGCAGGTCACTTATAATGAAGTTAGTGGGATTATGAAAGAGAAGCCAAACTGTATAACTATACAACTATTAGGGAGACAGAACAATACCAAGTGTAGGTATTTTACTGTGTCTTCAACAACAATAACAAGATTACATTTATATAGCGCCTTTCACGTCGGGAGGACGTCCCAAGGCGCTGGGACTACAAGTGTACAGCGCAAAACAAAACTACAGGAAACTGTACATCTGGCTGACCTAGAGTTAAAGTAACATTAAGAGAAATCTATTTTGCCTTTTATTAAGAGAAATCAACTCTTCTGTGATGAGGCCTGTGACAGACATCAGACACAGTTTTTAAACTGTTGCAGTTGGAGACATTGGACCCACTGGCTTACAAGCTAACATTGATGATGGCTGTTGGTCCCTCACTGCTTGGAAGTACGAGGGGGTAATGGAATAGCTGGGTGTCTAACACATGTGGAAACTCATTACCGTGCTTAAGAGTATCCAAACCAAACTGAGAATTCCGTGAGTGCCACCTACACATGGAAATTCCAGAGAATAGTTCAGTAAAAAATGAACAGTGTGTAACATACAGCCCAGTTTATAAGCATTCTTTGTTCCTGCAGAGCCTGGGTGTGGTGCTGTACGTACTGGTGTGTGGGGCCCTTCCGTTTGATGGCAGCACATTACAGAACCTGCGAGCCAGGGTTCTGAGTGGCAAATTCCGCATTCCATTCTTCATGTCTACAGGTAAGAGTGGTCAGTTTGTGGAACAAGGTGGTAATAATAATAAAAATAATAATAACAACAGCAATCCTTGCATTTGATATAGGGCCTCATCATGTCTTCGAGACGTCTCAAAGCACTTCATTGGATATACTGTAAAAGTGAATTGACAGGTCCAACCTTTTGGTTGCCGAGGGCCAGATGCCCTATTTGCGAAATGTCCGTGGGCTGCATAAGCAATATCTTTGAGTTTGCCCATTTCCAGAAACATAACATAACATTGACGGGTTATGGAGGGAGTGGGTGGGCTGGATGAAATGGAGGAGGGGTGTAGGGCCAGATGAAATCGGCCCGTGGACCGGATGGCCAGTTGGACCATCCTGTTGTAGAGAAACCAAAACTCTGATGAGGATATTTTTGGTTGGGAAAGCTAAATTTTCAGAAATAATGCATATATCCATTAATTCCACCTACAAAATATAATCAATTCACTTTACCATATATTTTGTGACGCGATAAGGCGCTATATCGAATGCAAGGATTATTATTAATGTGTAAAGGTGCAGTAAAACTCACTTAAGTCTTATCTTATACATTATCTAATCACCCAAGTCGTACATTCAGTTTCCTACCAAAAATCACTTAGATTTCTTTGCACTAGTTGTATTTTATAAATCGGATAAACGGTTAAATCATAATGGTTTCTTGGTTCTAAATAATCTTAAATCTTATACAAATCATCTCCTAACTTGTAACTCCGCTCCTGCACTTACCGGTTGCATTGAAATGCAGGAAATAAAGCCTTGACCCATCTCCACATGCACACTTACTGGCTGCATTGCAAGACACAGGCAATAATCAATGTAGATCATTGATTAAGTTGTATGTAATATGACTTGGGCAAGTTTGCCTGTAACTCAGAGTTAACATAACATGTAGGAGCAGGAGTAGGCCATTCGGCCCTTCGAGCCTGCCCCGCCATTCAATCATTGCTGATCTTCTAATCTAACTCCAGCTAATAACCTGACTGCCTTATCCCCATACCCCTTAATCCCTTTTGCAATAAGAAATCTATCTATCTCAGTCTTGAATATGTTCAAGGACTGAGCGTCAACAGCCCTTTGTGTTAGTCATATTAAATGTTATGGGCCGACTGATACGAGTTATGCAAGTTTAACCATATAGATATGACTACTGTAAAGAGAACCATTTTCTCTAAATCTTTAGTGTTTTTCCATAATCCTCTTTTACAGTCAGCTATAAGGAAGCAAGTTCAAATGTGTATTTAGTGCATTTATGATTGTCTACAAAATCCTTGTGCAAATCCTGCAAAAAGCCAGGTATTATGTTGAAGCCATCTTTTCATTGTTCTGTTACTAGATATTAAAATAGTGATTTAAAAATGCCTTCACAAATATTTGATTTTACCAATTAAGATAGGGAGCCTTTGTGTTTTTCTTTTACTTCTTTCCATTCTTACATTTGAGGGGAAAGTTTTTTTTCTGGTCTTAATTCTGCACCTTAATAATAATAATAATCCTTGCATTTGATATAGCGCTTTTCACGTCGGGACGACGTCCCAAAGCGCTTCACAGAACACACTGTAAAGTGAATTGACTGTATATTTGTGGGCGAACGCGGCAGCCAATTGCGCACAGCAATGTCCCACAAACAGTCGTAGATTGAAAATGACCAATTTATTATTGTTTTTGGTTTTGGAGGGATTGTTATTAGGCTCTGTGTGGAGTAAGGAAACTTGCCCAAGGTTTGGCCCTCTGCCTGGAATTGAACTCAGGTCTCTCACTTGCAAAGCGAGTGCTCTAACCACTGAGCTACAGGAGACTCCACGTAACCTTGTAGATATCATGGGACTAGATGATCAATTTGGTTTCAGAAATGTTCTCTTCACCTATGAGGGATAAACGTGAAAGAAATTGCTTTCATTACAAATCCTAAGAACCAACAAATTGAATGATTACATGCCATATTTTTCAGTACTCTTGAGATATTTTTTAGCATGATGATTTTGATCAAGCAAACACTTTGTGCTTTGGCTTACAAAGGTATGTTCTGTGTAGTTAATTTGTCTCATGGTAAATATGTTTTTCTGTTTTTAATAAATGTGTGTTTTTAATAAATGTGTGTTTTTCAGTCATTTCAGTAATTTATTGCCAATTATTGGACACAATAATAATAATTAATAATAATAATCCTTGCATTTGATATTAGCACCTTGTCATGCAGTTGAATCAGCTCAAAGCACTTCACAAAATATACTGTAAAGAGAATTGACTTTTTATTCTGTAGGCGAAACGCGGCAGCCAATTGCGTACAGTCCCACAAACAGCGGTGGAGTGAGTGACAAGTTTTTTTTAAATGATAATGGGGGAATTGATGGGCAGGAGAGAGAAACTCCCTTGTCTTTGGAATATGTCACGGGATCTTTAAAGTCCACTTAAACAAGCAGATGTGATCTCAGTTTAACGTCTCATCTCAAGGACAATTCAGATGCCTAGTCCCATGTGTTAATTTAGTCACCTGCTGCTGTTTCTCTTCAATTATACTTGCAGTATGGATCCCAGAACAGTGTTCTGTGCTTCTAATGGAACCCTGGGCACCCACTAGTCACTGACTTCCAATTTTGAATTAATTTCAGAAGTTCTCTTTATCCCAATCCACTCCATGCCTTTGAACCTTGTGAAGATTATGTGGCATTTTGTCAAAGGGCTTGCTGAAATCCAAACAGTTAATATCTATCGATTTCCCCGCAACTACCAATTCTGGTCATTACTCATTAAAAACTACAGATGGGTCAGGCCTGGCTTCCTTCCCATAAACCTGTGCTGACTTTTCCTTATTCTGGATCTGACGAGATACTTCATTATTCTTCATTATTCCTTCCAGTAATTTTACCCACTGCATACGTCAGACACGCTGATGTATAATTCTCAGAATCATTCCTATGACCTTATAAATAAATTCAGTGCTTGGTTTGTGCTGCATTAGTGATCCCAATCTGGGTAGCAAAGGGTAGACTAGTTGGATTCAATATCCCGGGCTATAAAGACGGTGAAAAAATATTGGACTAGATTCCCATTCCCTGACTTTGATAAAGGTTGAGTGATGACATGATTAGGTTTACCTGTGCGGCCTTCATGGTCAAGTAGCTTTTTTACATTGCCACGGCGCTCACGCGAAGATCTCTAGGACTGTACAGTATACCCAAGCACAATTTTCATTAAAAAGACGACACAGAGTTGTAAATCCATTCCAATCACATCAGCAACATGTATAATGTTATTTCGTTGGACAAATTACATTTCCCTATTGGTTCCCATCATTGGCCAATTGATTATAATAAAGTTATCAAAGCAATTAGCTTTGGATATCTTCGTCTCTTATACTAGAATCTGCTAGTCTTGTACTAGAACCCATGTACTGCCTGTATTAAGATGTGGAGTCCTGTAGCTTAGTGGTTAGAGCACTCGCCTCGTAAGCGATAGGACCTGGATTCAATTCCTCCCGGGCAGGGCGAAACGTTGGGCAAGTTTCCTTACTCCGCATGCCTCTGTTTATCTAGCAGCAAGTAGGAACCCGATTGTTAGTTGATTGGCAGTTTGCTTTTCCGGGGGTAATAATTTCTTCAAAAAATAATAATTTGGTCACTCAATTCATGACTGTTTGTGGGATGCTGCTGTGCGCAATTAGCTGCCATGTTTTGCTCACAAAATACACAATAAATTCACTTTACAATATATTCTGTGAAGCGCTTTGAGATGTCTTCAAGACGTGATAAGGCGCTGTATCAAATGCAAGGATTATTAAGAGTAGCATTGTGTTTGTTTGCTTCCACTGCCTCCATGAAGTATTGCATCCAATTTTGGGATTTAAGGCCATAGTGAGAGTGATACCAGGGATGAGTTTTTTTTACTTATGAGGAAACACTGGAGTGAAGGGACTGGGGCTGTTTCTACTCAGCATAGAGAAGATTGACTGGGACTTGATAAGAGGTTTTGAAAATGATGAGGGGTTTTGATGATGTAAATAGGGTGACATTATATCCACTCATTGGTGAGTCAGTTACCTGAGGGTATTTGATTTAACATAACTGCCAATAGAACAAAAGAAAAGGTTTTCTGCAGGATGTGGGAAACTTTTATCTAGAATGGCGGGTGAGGCAGAATCCATGTTAGCTTTTAAGGGGAAGTTAGATAAATATCTGAAAAGGATATGGGAAAAAGGCAGACAGGAGAATGAAACTAAATGGGTAGTGTTTTCAGGTGGCTTCCTGTGCTGTAAGTATTTATGGTTTTACTTTCTTAAATAGTTTAATTACAAGCTCAACATTTTTTAATAAAACTAAAGAATAGTTCTGTTTGAACTGAAAATCTTTTTTAGCGCTATACACTGTACCCACAGTCCTTTCGCCTCGTACCCTCCCTCGCCTTCTTCAAGGCATGTCTCAAGCGGCCCTTCTTCGACCGCTCATTCAGTCGCCCTCCTACCCCTACCCTCTCTGCCCTCCACCTCTCCTGATCCCAACCCCCAGCTCGGGTCCAAATCCCTGACTGTCCATCGGGAACGTTTTCCCGATGTGAAGGATACTATACAAGTGACTGTTGTTCTTGTTATAGAGGTGTAATTTAACATCCAATAAAGTGCTTGAAATATAAAGGCCATTCTTATTGATCCCCCAAGGCAATCTTTCCCTCCTTTGTGGTTAACACCCTTATCACAATCCTCATAGTCTGCCTGCCTGTCAGTAATAATAATAATCCTTGCATTTGATATAGCGCCGTATCACATCTCAAAGTGCTTCACAGGACACACTGCTAAGTTTTGCTGACTGTTTTGTGAGTGAAATATAGAATATTGGAAGCGATAGAGTTTTTGATGTGCTTCGTGTATTGCACTGTGTATTTTGCGACGAGTGGCCACAAAATGTGCCGTTCAAAATGGGGTTGTGGCAACTTGAATTGCGCTGGAGCCTTGGTCCTCACACCAGCTGGAGAAGGTGCCTTTAG